CTCTTAACTCTCAATCCTGCAGTCTCAACCAAGTGCTGGGATTACAAGAGTTATCACAACATTTGGCCATGCTAACTTTATGTTAAAACCAGTTGCTTTACAATCCTAGTTCCACTTTTTATCTTATTGACTTCCCCTTTGCAACGTAGATTAGGTCTTCTCACCGTTGAACCCTCTTCCATGTGGACCAACTGCGTACAGGAAAGATTTTCCTGACTATTCTCAATAGGTGAATAGGGGATTTCGGTGTTTCTACAACATTGAGTTGCTACTCAGTGAAAAATCTGTGAAGACTGAGTCTAGGTAGGTGGAGTCCTCCATGTACCAGGCCTCATTGATACCCCAAAACAGAAGACAACTATCATACAAAGTATGCAAAGTGAAAGTAGCCATACAGTAGGAAAAGCAAACACAGCAGGTAGCAAATGGAAGTAGCGAGATGAAAATCTGTATATCTGGAAGCCATCCTTTCTGCACTCACCAGACCTCTGAGCAGCCACAACAAGATTCAACAGCAGCATCTCTATGGGTACAACTGCAGCCTTGTCTCATTGCCTGCAGATTCTGACTCAGGTGGTTTAATGTGTGTGTTAGAAAACAAACACATGGTGGTTACCTTGTGTCCATCATCATGGGATAGGACCTGTATCCATGAGGAAGGACAGAGTTCCCTTGCTCCGAGCAGGGAATAACTAGTACACATTATGGTGACTCCTAGAGCTTCTGGAACCCAAGCCTGCATGGTTAAGCAGCTCAAAGCAAACTCTGCAGGTGCACCTGGGGCTCATCCAGCTTGCTCTTGAGAGTCCAAGTCAGTGTTTCAGTTTCCACCTGGATCCCAGCACTGCTCCCACGATGCCGAACCCCAGGCTAGGATCATGTACAGCTGTTGTTCAAGGTTGTTTTGCTTAGACTATACAGTGAATTTTTCAAAAAAATGAAACTATGTTTCACACAACATAGATTTTACCCTTTGGTGTTTTTTTTTAGTGTATTCACAAGGTTGTGCAACCGTGACCTCTGCTGAATTACAGAATATTTGCATTACCTCAAAGGATCCCTTACTCACCACGCAGTCTGTCCCTTTCCCCCTCCCCAGTCTTTGACAACCAGTCATCAACTCTTTGTTTATGGATTTGTCAACTCTGGGCATTTTATATAAATAATGCTTTTCAGATTTGCACAGTGCACTTCCAAAATATGGCTTGGAATGTCTTATGTAATAGGAGCCATAATGGCAAGTAGTAACACAGCTCACTGGAAGGCAGGCACTGTGCTGATTTTTTTATATATGTTTTACCATATTTCACCCTAATGCACACCCCATGGGGTGGACAGTATAATCCCTATGTATAGATGAGAAACCTGTGACACCAAGGGTTTATATGAAAGGCCCATGACCACAGTGGCACTGTGCAGGTTTGCTTCACGGCTGGTGGTGTCCGCCTGTCAACGTGATGACTATAAGGGAATCGGCATTGGACAATTTGCCATGGCCTCATTATGCTTATTCTTGGCCACTTCTCCCATATTTTTTAACCTGCCTGTTCCCAGAAGGGACCCACTTTTCTCTATTCTGATTTAAGTGATATTTCCAGTAAGTTCCTGAACCTCTCTGGACCCCGTGTTCCATTTGGGAAATGGCCCATTCCTGAGCAAGCTGTCAATATGGGCATCAGGAGGCAGTGGGGGGGGGGTCACAGGGCTGACCTTCACAGGTTGCTACAAGTGGTGAATGTGAGTGAGGCAGACAGCTTGGGCATGGTCCAAGAATACACCTGCCAATCAGACCCCTGCTTCCTACTTCTGTAGGCACATCCAGATGACGTGCCTGTCCATAAAAGAGTTTTCAGACGCAGCAAAATACACAAGGGAATAAATTCCCCTATGTAATTAGAACAATAATGACCTGTTGAGCATCCTTTAACCTCTGGAGAGTTGAAAGCCTGTCTCTACTTGCCAGCGCCTGGTGTGACTTCACAAACCACAACTGGTTATCTTGGGAGCTTTGTAACGCTGGTGAGGTTGCTCAGTCACACCCTGATACAGACAACAAGGACCTAATGGCACTTGAGTAGGCACACCTTGAACCCACTCTAGGATTGTGCCTTAACCTTAATACAGGAAGTGTGAGTCCACAATTATGGGGTCCTACATGCATGTGCTAATGCAAAAGTCCTATTTGTCATTTCTTTTTGGACAAAAGATCCAAAAAACTGGAAACCTACTTGAAACCAAAGTTGCTCTGGCTCAATCCATTAAATTTAAACAAACAAGCAAAGAATAAATAAATAAATAGGCCAGTTCACCCCTGCCATCCTAGCTACTCAGGAAGCTGAGACATGGAAGATGGTGGTTCCAAGCCAACCTTGGCAGAAAATTCTGACTGAGACTCCATCTCCAATTAACCAACATAAAAGTAGACTGGGGGCATGGCTCAAGTGGCAGAGTCCCAGCCATGAGGGAAAAAAAATTCTGTGTAAGTTCTAAAGGCCCCAAGTTCAAGCCCTAAAAGCAGCACAAAACTAAGAAAAGGAAAGAAAAAGATCACTGGGTGGCAGTCTTATTTGTGTTGAATCCTAGTTCTATTTCTTCTGAGCTAGGTGACCTGGGTCCTCTCACTCATTTCGAAGGCAAGAATAATACTTATCTTGAAAACTTGTCAGAGCACAGCAAGCACTCAGGAGGTAGTAGCTGGTAGTAAGGCCTCAGACTTAAGAGTGACACATTCTCTTCAAGATTCCTTTGTGAATTGTGGGGCATTATCTGAACTAAACAAACAGGTTTATTTCCCCAAAGCTACTAAGTTGGAGAAGTGGAGTAGCCTGTAGGCATAAAGGCATTGGGAATATCTCATATTTAAAGATGGTCACCAGCCTGAAATCCAACAGTAACTGCCAATTAGTCACTGTGTGCATTTTAGCTATATTTCACCTCTTCTCTCACATCTAAAAAATGGTTGCACTGGTTCTCCATCTCCTCTAATATCTCAACTAGGTATAACTAGAAAAAAGCTGAAAATCTCAGAGTTGATCATTCGTATTCCACTTTTAATATTTCTGTATCATTAGAGAGAATCCAATCACATGATTACAAAAGTCTACCTTCATCCCCCTTCCCTAATCTGTGGTTTTTCACATTCTCTATTTCCTAGAGTCAACTATAGGCTGAAATTTTTACATAGAAAATTGGGGGAACAGACAATTTAGGTCTGCCCTTTTGAGTAAAATGATCAAATACTATGTCACATATTTCATACCACCCAGACAACATATGCTACCCGTGCCTTGGTCACTGTAACTACTTCAGTTATCAGATCAACTGTGAAGGCACAGAGAAAACAAAACACGAAACTCCCAGACATAGTATGTATAGGGTTCAGTACCATGTGCTTTCTGGATGAAGGGAGGGGTGTCACTCAGTGGCAGACAACTTCTCTTTCATGCACAAAGGCCCTGGATTCCATCTTTAGCATTGAATAACAAATATTTGTGGTTTCAGGCATTCTGTGGACATCTTGGAACATTTCCCCACCACCACCACCAAGGATAAGTGAGTACTGATTTATACTTTTCCCCACAAGTGTATATTAGATAGAATAAAAAATTAGCCCCAAAGGGAAAATGAAAAAATATTTAAGAATTCACATGTCTATACTATAACTTGTTTTCCTGTACTCATAGCAGCAATATGTCGAGTGGACATTTGTGCTTGTTTCTCTGTCTGCTAAGAGGTCAGTTTACAAAGACAATCTTTGTGTTGTGCACTTTGGCTTCATCACTTCCAAGAACACAGCTGACATGTCAGCAGAATGGTGAAAGGCTCTTCCTTCAGCAACTCCAGACAAACTGTCCACATGAAAAGCACTTCTGCCTCTTTTGTGCAACTATCTTGACTTGTACTGGACAACTCTCACTGTGTTCCTTGTATATGAAATAAATTTTAGTAAGAACTAGGATAGAGTTCTGTTTTTTTTGTTTGTTTATTTTTGGGGGTTTTTTGTTTTTGTTTTTTCCTGAGGTCATGTCTTTCACTGGCTGGATTTGCTTTCTTTGTCAGGAAGCTCAAAGCCTATTCCCTGGTAAATGCCAATGTTTTCCTTAAATCCCTTTCCTGAGATGGAGATCAGATATAAACAACTGTAAAAATATTCTGCTGGTACTTGCTTATGGCCCTATTTTTAACTAGAGTGCATTTATTCTAAGGAGGTGCTTTTCAAAGTGAGATGTACCTGTGAATTACCTGAGATCTGATCGTTAAAACGATAAAGAAAATACTTAGTGTGACTCAGTGGGTCACGGGTGGGGCACAAGATGCTACATTTCTAAGTAGGTTCTGAAGATGCCCCTGAAGATGCCAATGCGGCTGGGCCTTGGATCACACTTTTAGCGGCACAGGTGTAAAATAACAACTTGTTCCCTTGATTCAGTGAAATTTCTCTCCCCGTCTACATCCTCCATGTCCCTGACACACATGACCAAAGGCTCGAAAACTGGGCGCAAGCCAAGAGACCCTTAGTGAATCCCTTAGAACCAACTCTACCCCACCCTCACCCAACGCAAGCTGCGAGATGGACAGTCAGCAGGACACAGGAAGCCGTCCAGGTGCTTTAGCTGAGGGTGGCCTTAGAACAAAATTTGAAAGTGACTGCTTTTTGCACGGTTTTCCCTAAGGTAAAGTCCTGGGGACAGCTGTTGTCACCAGTGGTGGCAATTGCTTGTTCGGGATTTTAGAGAATTGCCATCCGGATATGTCTAGCCCAGCACCAAGAAGGGTCCCATCCTCGTGTCCAGCTGACACGGACCTCAGCCGATTTGGCAAGCTTGGCCTGGATCGTGGCCCTGGGTTCCAAACAAACAGGTCGGACTGCTGACCGGCACAGCCGCGGCCACAGGCCCTGGAGGCTGAGGGTGGAGTGCTCATGCGCAGAGCGACCCCCCCTAGGCCCACTGGGCGAGTTCCCTGGGTGCCTCCCCCTTCCCCCCTCCGGCTTGCCTTACCTCTGTGGACCAGGGTGGTCAAGGAGAACGCGAGGCAGATAAGGAACGCCGACCGCCAGGCCACCATGGTTGGGAAGCGGCGGAGGGGCCCCAGAGGAGCACAGTTCGCGCTGGAGGCCTGGAGGGGGAGGATGAGGAGGAGCAGCAGAGGAGGAGGAGCTTTGTCCCCTCCGCAGGGCCCCGCCCACAGCTGGCACGCGTGTGGTATCGCCCTGGGAGGGTGAAGGCAGCGTGGTGCTAGAGAGTCAGCAACTGGAGGCCATAGGGCGGGGACTTCGGGGGGCGGGGCAAGACTGCAGTCTAAAGGGCGGGGCCCAGGGAAAAGGACGGGGTGGGGCCGGTCGACTCCCAGTGGCTTGGGCAGTGACGGTTGGGTGACGCGTCTGCTTGCCGCTCACAGACCCTTTCCTACCCGAATCCTCTCAGTTTGGCCCAGAGCAGTGCGTCGCCAGGGGGCGGGAAGCGACACCATCAAGCGATTATTCAGGAGCGGGAACCCCAGGCGGCGCACAGGCCAGCTGCCAGCCATGTGACCTTGGACCGGGCTTTTCCCCTTGGGTCCCCATTCTCTCCACGGGCTTCTCCAGCCACCGCCCCACTCGCCGATCGGTGCAGAAAGCTATAGGGAAACCATGTGTAGACACTAAAGAAAAGGACCGTTTTTCTGAGGTGGCTGCTGTGGCGAAGAGCTGCCCATGTGGATGGAGACTAGCTCAGGCTCCGGCGGCAGGCACGCGAAGGGGCCGGGGAGGATGGGGTAGGCTCAGCAGGCTCAGCCGGGACAGTGTCAACACCCACTCAAAAACGTGCTCCACGACAGATAAAGGAGCTGCAGGCCCTCCTGCAACTGCAGTCCATGTTAGGAACCAGGAGAAATCCTAGGTCCCCTGCAACCTCGAAGGGAACACTCTGAAGACCAGCCCCAACCGCTAGCAGCTTTTCAGGACAAAGGGAAAGCGCATTGCTCTCTCCCAAGTGGCAGGTTGGCAGCGACGAGCCTGCCCTCGCCATTATGTAGCATAAGCTGTGCTACGCCACACCCACGGCAGGGGGCGGCTCCAACCCGACACACGCTCCCCGCCCCCAACCATTCTGGGACTCCTGCGAGACAACCCCCCCCCCACTGTGATTCCCGCTGTTCCCTCACCTTCCATTCGACCGCGAACATGTTTACAGCTTTGATTCTCTTCCTCGCCCCCCCCCCACATGGAGCTTGAGCTTCATCTGAATAATAGAAGAGGGGGGAAGCAAGTAGAGGTTCCTAGGGGGTCAGCTCTAGCCCCATAGTTCAAAGGGGCACACAAGGACTAGAAAAACCAGCCAGGAAGCCTCCCAGCCATATGCTACCTACTGAGCCTGCTGAGACCCAAAAGGATGAAATGTGATAGCCTAACACACAGGGGACATACAGCCAGTACTACCTGGAATTCTTTTTAAAAAAAATCATAGACTGATACATTTATTGGAAGTTTCTCAAGACTGAAGAGAGCTTCCACTATACCTTGCCATAAAAAAGCAACCAGTAGCCGGGCTCCGGTGGCTCACGCCTTTAATCCTAGCTACTCAGGAGGCTGAGATCTAAGGATCGCGGTTCAAAGCCAGCCCAGGGCAGGAAAGTCATGAGACTCATCTCAAATAAACCACTAGAAAACTGGAAGTGGCACTATGACTCAAGTGGTAGAGCGCTCGCCTTGAGCTGAAAAGCGCAGGGACAGCACCCAGGCCCACAATTCAGGCCCCACGATCGACAAAAAAAAAAAAGCAAGTAGTAAACTCAATGTGAATCTTCTCCCTTGGCTGTCCCTCAGTGTCTCACAACAAACACTAGCTCTCCAATTTTTCTCTCATCAAAACATTATACCTTAGTCATGTAACTGTAACCCCTCAGTACAGGATCTTTACAATAAAATTTTTAAAAAATTAAAAATGGACCTCTGTTTTTTTCTCCCTACTATCCCGTCTCCCCTCATCTCCAAGTTAATTCTTCCCCTCTGGTGGAGTTGAAGGAGTGAGGAAGCACAAGCAAGACGAACGTGCGTTAGGAAGGAAACAAAGTCTTTTGGTTTGCTCCAGAAAAATACCTTTTATTTTGTTTTCTACCACTTGAGCCACGGCTCCACTGGAAAATACTTTCTTGCGTGCCTCTGGTGCTTGATTACAAATCCAGGGCCTCTCAAATATTTTTAAATGACTGTTTGGTACCAATTCTTTTGAATCACAAGCATGCTGTACTCTTTAGTGTTACAATCTGATCATTTCACAGTATTTTACAACACAGAAAAGCTATTTTTGACTGTACCTTTCTGAGGCCCAAGCAAGACTCCACTTTAAATTGGCAAGCAGGAATTTGAGAGCCCGTGTCCACTCTTCCACCGTGTTGAGGTGAGTCCGGATAGAGTACCACTCCCTGCTGACCTTGGCATCCTCTAGCGTGCCCATCTCCGGGTACATGCTGTAGGGAAGGTACAAGCCCCCCCGGCCCTTCTCCGCCTCTTCCTTGAACTGTTGCATGCAATCCAGGAAAGCCATCATGGCGCGATCAAATGTGTTTTCCAAGAAAACATTCTGCTTCCCATCGGAGAACAAGGGCAGCCGGACACCGTCACCCGTCAGCGACTTCAGATAGGAATGGTTTCCACTGGCCACAAGTTGGTACCTCTGAAACTTGAGTCCAATGGTATTGGCGAGGGCGAGGAGCAGCAAAGCCACCTGTCCCCAGGCAGCGCTGATCTCCGTCCAGCTCACGGGGACATGGGGCAGGTAGCCCAGCCTGAAGTTATTGATGACGCCCAGGGGGCCCTCCTCCCAGATCTGGAAGGTGACATCGAAGATGCTGGTGGTGCTCAGCTTGTCCAGCTGGCCCCGGGCGTACCTCAGCTGGTTCTCCACGCTGCTCAACTGGTCCGTCAGTTCGAGCCGTTGCCACTCCAGGGTCCGGTATTCCTTCTGGTACTGCACGGCCTGCTGGTGCAGCTCGGCCGTCTCTGCCTGGGACTCCTGGAAGTCATGGGCCACTTGGGCCCAGGCCTGCTCAGCGTCCGCGAGTTCCTCCATCAGCAGGGCCTCTGCCCGCTCCAGCTCCTGCAACTCTGCCCAAAGCCAGGTGTTCAGAGCCCTCCTCTCCTCCGGATCCACTAGCAACTCCATCTCCAGGGCACGCCTGTAGGCCTGCCAGTCCAGCTTCGCCTGCGAGAGCTGAGTGTCCAGTTGCTCCAAAAGATGGTCAGTACACTCCTCGCAGAGAGGGTGTTCTACCGCTTTTTTGCCTGACAGGATGGCAAAAATGTCTAGCAGGGTCTTCTGGATGCTGCTCAGAGTTCTGAGCGACACAGCATTTCCAAGCAGGGTGAACTGGCTAGCACTGGCCCTGGATTCTCCACCCTGGCCAGCCAGGGCTCCACTGGAGGCGCTGGCCCGGAGTTCTGGGCAATCACTGGCTTTGGTGGACAAACTGCCATGCCCTGGGGCTGCTTCAGGCATCTCTGTGGGCTCCCTGGGTCTCAAGGGATGTCCACAGCAATGACACATGAAGTGCATGGAAAACAGGGCAGAGGGCTGGGCCATTCTGACTGACTTCTTGGTTGCTAAGCTTGTGATACTTAAGAAGTTTTTATTTTCCTCAGAGAGTGGTTCTTTTTACATACATCTTACTTGGAATTCTTTTTTTTGGGGGGGGGGGGAATCACTCATGAGGCTTGAACTCTGGGCCTGGGAGCTGTCCCTCAGCTCTTCAGTTCAAGGCTAGCGCTCTACTACTTGAGCTACAGTGGCACTTCTGGCTTTTTTTGTGCTTATTGGTGCTGAGGAATCGAACCCAGGGCCTCACACATGAGAGGCAAGCGCTCTACCACTGAGCTACCTTCCCAGCCCTTCTTGGAATTCTTAGACACACGGTGCTGCTGTGAACTTGAGAGGTTACCACTGCCTTCCTGGCTGCGGATATGCCCCCAACCTCTCCAGTAACTCTGGGTGCTCTAGGCCATTCTCTTGCCCTCCCTGCCCTCAGCACAACTAGCTATAGCAGAGGGACATCAGATTTCACAGTTTCAAGGGATCTGATGGGTGAACTGTCATATACTCACTGGTGTGAAGATGCACAGCCTCAGAACAGACCTCACCTCAGGCAACAGCCCATGTACACAAACACTGACTGAATTGAATCTCACTGAAACTTACACCTGAAACCTACCAGCCAAATATCTGCCACAAAGTTGCTGCCATATGGCTGTCTTCTAGTTTTCTACCTTCAATGAGTCTACTCTGCAGTCCACACAGCCTGAGAGCCATCAGCCGCTTTGAGCAGAATATGACCTGAGTGTGTTTTTTTCCATTTTTGGTGGTGGCTGTGGTGGTGTTTTGGCTTGGGTTGGGTTTTTTCTTTTTTTTCTTGGAAGTACTGGAGTTGAACACAGGAATTTAGGAGGCAGATGCTCTACCACTTGAACACAAATCTAGCCCACTTTTGCACTAGTCATTTTTTCACATTGGGTCCCATTTTCTATCCAGATAAGCACTGGAGCTGTAGTGAGAACCAGTAGGTGGGCGGTTCCGCCCCCGCGTGACATCACCTCCGAGTTTCACCTCCTCCCCCGCCTGCTGGCAGGGGGTGGGGCAGTAGAGGACTAGAGAGGCCCTCAGGCGGTTAGGCCTAGGCCGGTAGAGAGGCCTGCAGAGAGCTGTGGGAAGGAGGGAAAGGAGGAAAAAAGAAAAAAAAAAGTCCCTTGGAAGTTGTGGTTGTTCCTAATTCTGAGGTAGCTTAGGAAAGAGCAGTTGCATAACCAACTAATAAAACTCCTTTGTTACCTTTAATCTTGCCTCCCTGGATTTTCTCACTCACAGGCTATTACACCATGATCTACTAATTTTAGGATGACCATCATTGCTGGGATTACAAGTGCCCACCATTGCATCACGTACATAAACTCTCAAGGACTTTTCTCCATCCCCTATCTCTCACATAGTGTCATATGCTTGGCTAGGATTCATAAACGATCTCATAATTCTTTTTCTCCCCAGCTAGCCTCAAACCATGATCTTCCTATTCTCAGCCCCGCCCTCCTCAACATCTAGGATTACCTATGGGCCCCAGCTGTTTTTATTTTTAATTTTTTAAAATTATCTTTAAGTAGTTATACAGAAGACTTGCCATCCACTGTAGCAGTTTATGCCTATTGATCAATG